AAAGGGTGCCGCTGATCCTAATTTGACTACAGTAAAGAGGGGAGGGGAGTTTTGAAACCAAATTTCTACCATAGAGTGAAGTTTAGGTGTAGAAGAGATTCATGTGAAAATTTCGAAAAAATTATGTGAACTGAAAGTTTTGCCTACCTCAGGTGGGCATTAGGTGGGCAATTGCCCACTTAATTTGGAAAAAAGTTGGGCACGCCCTTCATTCACATAAGTTTTCCATAATTTTTCATACTTTGTTCCTTAGTCCTACTGCGCGTATAAGCAGCAAATTTCGCGCGATTTCGTCATCTCTGCGTTGCAAACGAGCCATTTCTCCATTATTTTGGAAGCGGAAAAATTTCAGAAAAAAAGATTGCCGCAACCTTCAGTCACATAATTTTTCAACAAAACTCCAAAGTTAACCCCTACAGGCTTGTGTCCACGTATACCAAGTTTCAATCCATATCGTCATTTGCGGGTTGCAAGGAAGCCTTTTGAATTCACATCTTCATTCACCAATGCAAAATTTTTGGAAAAAATGCTTGTTTCTCATAATTTTTCGTGCTTTGTTTTCACTAGCCTCTCTTCGTTCGTTTATAAAATGTGGTTCACATCGTTACGCATACATTGAGAACTAGTCATGTATGCTGTTACTAATAGCATCGGTTAAGCGACGTCGCGCGTGCGGCAGTTAGCGACGGCGCGGTTTGATGCGCGCGAACTCCATTGGTCAACATGGTGTTGTGTGCCTCAACAGCTGTTGAGGCACACAACATATAAGATAAGCAGAGAGCATAAACTACCAAGTTTTTTTTCGAGCTCCGCCCGGACCCCGCTGAAACGATCTCCCCTTTGCTACTTTCACTCAAAACGATTTCTAGCCTGTCATTTGCCCACCTCGTGCCGGGCCCTGACCGGGGGAGCTATCAGACACAGACAGGAGTGCCGCTCTTCTAAATCTGCCTCCTCGTACTTATAGCTTCACCCTAACCTAACACACTTCCCAAAAAGACAATGCTTACCCGATTTAGTCGCGCTAGCCTCGTTGACAACCTTGCACTCTCTCCCCACTTGTCCCATGCCAACATAAAAGTGCAACTCTCTACCATTTCGTTAATTAATGATATTTTGGGGCCACCTAGCGACACTCTGGCCTTTCTGAGTGTAAGACCCGACAACGCTAGAGTGCGGAACTCAAAGTCTCTTTTGAAGTGCTGTACACAGAAGCTTGTTTTTTCAGAGTTAACCAACGCTTCTAGATGACATGGTAGCGCAAACTTTATTTTATATTCTTGAAAACATTAATTTTTGTGAAAAGCTACTACCCTATTTCACGAATATAAGACGCGGGGATTTTTTTTCTAAAACTGAACAGCACAGACGAGCCGAAGGACTTCGCGACCAAAAAACTATATACATTGCTGCATATTGCTTGAGAGTCCCATGCGGCATAAGTCTCGTTTTCTGGAGTACAGCAAGACGGCTGAGCGACTAGCTCAAAAATTCAAAAAGTGCGTCCTGTACTCGTGTTAAAGTAGATTTTTTTTTTGTTTTACGCAAGAACCTTCGCTCAACTTGAATTATGTGGTATATTCTGACATGATATCAAAACTTTTTCATTTGATACGTTGACGATCAAGCCATTCGGCGAAACTTCCGCAAACGTCTCTCGCGCATTTGGGATTGCCCTCTTGAACCGCTCCGTTCTAGCGCTGATTACTCCGCCCTAGGGCAGCGCTAATTACTCCGCCTTTCTTATGATCCAGCAGTTTTGGAATGTTCATGAGTATTCCAAAGTAAGCGAGTGCGCACTTCCAAACAATCCTTGTGACGATGTTTAGTACGAAGAGAATTTGAGAAAGTTGAAATTCTAACTGCACCTATGACCTGAAGAACCTACCTACCTACCAAGCATAGTATTTTAGAGTTTCATGTAAAAATGGAGATCTTCTTTGATTATTCTTTTTGGGAAGGTGCTTTTGCTAACTCGTCCATTTTAGAGGATCTGCGTCTGTAACGACAGCCTAGCTCTATCACGCGGCAGCGCCGACCAATCAAAGGCGCGCAGTAATTAGGCTGCTGAGGCCAACGGTGCAGAAGGGCCGTCTTCTGCGCATTCTCTACATATGCGCGGATGAAAAATCAGCACGTGGGAGTCTTTTTGACCTTTTTCATAAAACATGCAAATCCCCAGAGTTACACGTGTCAAACAGAGTCTTACAGGAACCCATCTGAAGATTTTTGAATCACTTATCCCTTTGATAGTTCACGCAAACGCTATGTCTGAGAAGTCACCCTCTAAGAAAAGCGTTATAACATTGTGTGTTTTTTATCTGTTTCATCCTTGATTCTTTCAGAACAGCTAAGCAGACTTCTGGCCTTCTGAGAAGAACATAATTAGTATATTTTGAAACATCAAATTGGACTGAAGTTTAGAAGTTATCTAGAACTTTTCGTTCACAACGCAAAGACTGGCGTGCATACGTAAGTATGCAAGCGGTCGTCAACATGTTAAACAAATAAATTAGTCGTGAAACATTGCTTAAGCTGAGCTGATCTAATAACAGCGGCTTGCAACCGCGAATAATTGCCTGGATGTGAGAACTAGCGCATATGATCGCAGAGTATCGCTACAAACTTGTTCTTCTCCCGATAGAGGACGAACCTAATCTATCACCAACACATATGTCACTAGTAACATTCAACAAAGGGTCGCCGAAACTACGATCAAAGATAAGAAAACATTGCCTTAAAGGTGAACGCCAGGAGACAAGCACACGTCTTTTTCTAAGAATTCAGGGGTCATACATATGAAATAATCGCTTGAATTGAGGAGGAATCTTCATAAGATTCGTAATATATGACTGATGTTAAATTCAAATAAACTACAAAACTCGAAATCCTTTCAGAATTCTACCGACAATAGATACTGCGCACCTTTTTCTGTAACAATTCCTTTTTTTTTCAATCAGCAGCTGATGTATTTCGTTTCAAACAAATACACCCACTACTTTTCTACATCTATCATTTCGACTGCAGCCAGCTAAAAAGAATTATTAGGTTGGTGCAAAAATAATGAGCGTTTTCCTAGGACTTTTTTCAGGATAATTTTTCTCCATCAAACGTCTTTCTTTTTAAGGGTTTCAGCACATTGTTAGAAAGCTCTTTTCATGCTCTATCCGAGCATGTTCGAAAAGAACTTCTAGCCCACTCTGTTAAGAATTTATAGAGCTTCACATAATCGCACTCAAAATTAGACTTTCGTTGCATTCATTTTTCTGGCCAGAATTTGAGCGCGATGAAGGTGGTTTGTCGAAAATTTAGCCGCTATATGTAATGGAAATTGCCTACATTATGCATATTCAACCATATTTTTTCAAGTTATCTAAAGTGAGATATCGGCGGCTTAACATGGGTAATGATTGTGGTCATTTTAGAGCCCATAACTTTCTTTTGTAAAATGCAGTCGCTCAAACTTTGCTCATCTCTGTAAGCGTGAGGGTAGGAGTCCCATTGGCGGTTTTTGCAAAAACATCCAGCTTTTCAGTACGCAGAAAATTAAAAAAAATTCTCTACTTTGGGTTTTGAGGCCTACTGAAAAAATGCTAAGAAAGTTGATATTTTTGAATTTCGATTTTTCCCTCTTCGCTAATCTTTTTTCTCCAAGCCGTTTCCATGTATATTTGTACTACTGGTTTGCGGTTACAAGATAGGCTGCTTATAAATCATAAAAACAAAGTGTGAAAGGAGTTATGTCCTGTCAAAAACAAGGCTTGAGAAAAAAACTCTTTTTGTTTTTCAATCCATATTTTTCTGCCCATATGAGATATGAGTATAGTTCAATGTGCGCTGTACTGCGGAAGATTCGCTGCATCTGATGGTCTTTATCACATTTCAAATGTAGATTTTGTAGGAAGCTATAGCAAGTTAAAGTGAAAAATGGGAAAACGCTCATTATTTTTGCACCAACCTAATACCATTCAAACGGTTTTGCTTCCAAGAATTTAATTCCACATACCCGAAATGGAACTTGACTGCTATGAGTACACATGCATCTATAATCTTTGTATCAGGTTAGCACGAAATGAAGTTCGGAAGGTACCACGAAACCCTTTCTTAGCATTTCTCCTATCTTTAGTAGCTTAAAAACCCACAAAGTCGACTTTTCCAAAATTTTTGCTAGGTTTCACCTCATTTTTTATTTTACTTTTTTGGTGCTTCGACATTTATGACTTCACGTTAATTATGCACAAATCCTAACCTAAAAAAAGCCATAAAACTTGTACTGGAGACTGCCGGATAATAGTAACAAGTTTTTAGCAAAATTTGGAAAAATTTCAAACTCAAAAAAGATTCTCCCTCGTTTTTGACCTCGGACACCTGCTTTTGTGAGAAATTGCCCAGCAGAACCAAACACATGAAATGGTTGAGAAAGAAGTTAAAGAAGAGTTCAAAAAATCTCTATTTCTACCAATGCTGCAACAGAATTTGATTCTGTGTTAACTTAATTTGATACTTTCAAGCGTTACTAACTCTTATTATCAGGCAAGTGAGTGGGTAAAAATAAAAATGAAAGAGGTGTTTGAAAGATTTCGCATTGCAATTTTGACCACAGAACATCTGCATCAATACTAAACACTTCCATTTCTTGATCACAACTCAATCAGATTACCTGTCATCAGATTTGACAAGTGCAAATACTCGCTTTTTGTGTCTGCACTTCATGTAGCTTTTTATAGCAAAACGCGAATAACAACTAAGTGGATAGCTGCTGCGCGGCGTTTCATCTTCTAGACAGAGATTCAAAAAGAGACTTCATCAATCATGATCGTAGTAAGAGATCCTCGACAAAGCTGCGGGATTAAGACACTGATACCGAATAACCAGTAATCAGTTTGCTTATGTATTATCTCTCATTATACCAGTTCAGCAAGAAAGCTGGCGATCACTCGCGATAGCATATAAAGCCAGCTAGACTTAAGATCACGCGGCCCACGGACTTATTTTCCGCCATGCGTTTATTAGAATGGGCACTTCTAGCTCTGTGCATTCATTTAGCACAGTCACGATTCCGTAAGTCTTAATTTTCAACAATTTTTGAATACTTTGTTCATGGTCTTTACCATTTTGACTGTGTATGCTTCGTGCAATTAAGTCTCTCCAGAAATTTGCATTTTTCTTATTTTAAATCTGTTCTAAAGCATGCAAAAAAGCTGCAAATTTTTCATCTCTAAGGAGTAGGTCAATCGCTTTACAAATATTAGGTCGTTTCACAAGTTCGTCGACTTTTTATTTTTGTCGCTGTTTTTCGATGAAGCGGTTGGTTTACGGCAAAGTACCTAGACCAATGAAAAGAGAAAATCTTGCTCTACAAGAAACTGTTGTTCGTTTTTGGAGCAAACTTGAATCCCCTTCTTTTACGACTTATCAAAGCAAAATTTTTTGAGAGGCAAAAATTGGCGATTGCGGCAACTGCAACTTTCGATCCGTATACGGAGCCACAAGTGGGAATTTTTGGTCTGAAATTGTTATGAGTGATGAGAAACAACTGTTTGTGGTACTACGGTGCATTTAAAAGTAGTCTCCATATCCAAAGAAAGGCTATAAAGAAAGATTAAGCGCACGTTTACCATGTGTGTAGATGTTTTGCGTTTGGCACAATTGGAAGAAGTTCCCACGTCAAAAATTTTTTTGAGAAAGCGTTAAATGTTGGTCAGAGCTTGTACTCATACATCTACACCACTTAAAAGAACGCATCCATTCCTCAAGTTCCGATAGGAGGACCGACACATTGTGTCGCTGAACAACGCGCCAAACTCAAGCGGCAGCAGTCAAAGACAACAACCATTGGGACCTTGTTCAAACGGTTCCATGCATATCGGCATGCTGCAAATTTGTCAGTGTTTCAGTCTTGCTTGCTACTATCCATCCCGCCTACCTATGACAGAAACATCTTGCGGAATACGGACCGAATGCGGAAAGTGCAGTTGCCGCAATCGCCAATTTTTGCCTCTCAAAAAATTTTGCTTTGATAAGTCTTAAAAGAAGGGGATTCAAGTTTGCTCCAAAAACGAACAACAGTTCTTGTAGAGCAAGATTTTCTCTTTTCATTGGTATAGGTACTTTGCCGTAAACCAACCGCTTCATCGAAAAACGGCGACAAAAATAGAAAGTCGACGATCTATGAAACGACCTAGTACATTCGTACAGCTTTCAAAACTTTCGCTCCAAAAATAAAAGCTTGCTGGATTTGACGCTCGAATATTTTTTGAGATCAATTGACTGCTACTATATCGCTGCTAAATAAGCAAAATAAAATGACATACGTTTTGTTGGAGACGGCCCTATCCATTGCACAAAAGCCAACATTGGTGAATGTCGCAAGTCTGGAATTAAATCATTTTTACATGGATTATGTCGCACATTGAACCCTTCTGCAAAGAATCACTGTGTAAATTCATAAAAGTAGAGTCATAAAACCCGTAAAGAGCTCAACAATGCATAAGCTTTGCTTTATGATGGCTGCTAGTTTTGCAAAAAAAGTGACATAAAAAGTAGCACTAGGAAGAACAAGTGTGAAAATGACATACTGCAAATCTTGCGATTACTTGCGCGCTAAAAATTTTTTCTACGCAAAGCTGCTAAAAAGGCTAGGAAAAGCTTTAAATGCGCCTTACTCCGCTCAGAATTGCTATTTTGATGTTTGGCATCTACATTTTACACATGTGACCATTAAATTCTGCCATTGTGTCTTTGACATTGATGGGAAGTAGCCACCATATTTTGCATATATATCACAATGTAGATTAATTGAATGAGGAAGGAAATGTTGATGCGTGATTTACAAAAATGATTTCTCTCAACGACTTTGATTTAGTGCACAAACGCCAAGCCGTTGATGTCAATGTTACTGTGGTGGTTGGAAATGAAACAGTTGCGGTACAGGCCACCTCCATGCCGGAGACTGCGGCAGAAACTACAGTTGAAGAGACCACTGTAGCAGAAACCACGGCCGCGGAAACTACCGTTGAAGAAACTACGGTAGCGGAAACCACAGTCGCGGAGACTACCGTTGAAGAGACTACAGTAGCGGAAACGACGGCCGCAGAAACTACCGTTGAAGAGACAACGGCAGCAGAAACCACAGTCGCGGAGACTACCGTTGAAGAGACTACAGTAGCGGAAACAACGGCCGCAGAAACTACAGTAGCTGAGACTACCGTCGCTGAAACTACAGCTGCAGAGACGACTGTTGCCGAAACTACGGTGGAGGAGACCACGGCTGCAGAAACAACGGTTGCAGAAACGACAGTGGAGGAAACCACTGCTGCGGAAACAACAGTCGCAGAAACTACGGTTGCAGAAACGACAGTTGAAGAAACCACAGCAGCAGAAACAACTGTTGCTGAAACTACTGTTGAAGAAACGACGGTAGCTGAAACTACGGCTGCTGAGACCACCGTAGCAGAGACCACAGCTGCAGAGACAACGGCTGCAGAGACTACAGCTGCAGAGACTACAGCTGCAGAGACCACAGCTGCAGAGACCACAGCAGCAGAGACCACTACCGCAGAAGTGACAGTGGTGCCCTATGGCGATGAGCCCATAACACCCAAGCCCAACTACGTGGACGAACCTTATGCTCCAAAATACGGAAAATCATCAGGGTATGGCGGTGGTGAACAAGGTTCTGGCAGTATTTCTCAAGGTGGGTATTCTGGAAATATAAAAGTTGAACCATCCGGATACCGACACCGACGAAGAAGAGCAAACGAGTATGGAGATGAAAGTCTCACACCGCCCACGCCTCCTCCAGGAGATGAGGATTATGCTCCTGCAGGCGAGGAAACTCCTGCACCAGCAGATCAGGGGTACGGCCCAGACTTAGGTCCACCGGTTGAACCTGGAGGCTACAGAAGGAAGAAGAGACAGAGCGAATATGGAGATGAAAATGTGACTCCAACAACGATTTCCAGTGGAGATGAATATGCTCCAGCAACAGAAGAAACTTCAGCTCCAATAGATCAGGGATATGCAGCTAGCGAAGCTCCCCCAGTTGGACCTGGTGGCTACAGAAAGAAGAGACAGAGCGAGTATGGAGACGAGAACGTAACACCATCTACACCAGTAACGCCAGGTGGAGAGGAATCGTTTACTGAGGAGACTCCTGCGACAGTCGGACAAGAATATGGCGGAGATGGAGGCCCGCCTGTGCAGCCCGGCGGCTACAGGAGAAAGAGACAGAATGAGTATGGAGATGAGAACGTTACCCCATCCACACCAGTAACGCCCGGTGGAGAGGAATCCTTTACTGAAGAGACTCCCGCAACTGTCGGACAAGGATATGGATGTACTGGACGTCCTCCCGTGGAACCCGGTGGCTACAGGAGAAAGAGACAGAACGAATACGGAGATGAGAATGTAACCCCATCAACACCGGTAACGCCTGGTGGAGAGGAATCATTTACCGAAGAGACCCCCGCAACCGTTGGACAAGGATACGACTGCAATGAAGGATATCCACCTGTGGAACCCGGCGGCTACCGGAAGAAGAGACAGAGTGAATATGGAGACGAGAACGTAACTCCGTTTACACCCGTTACGCCTGGTGGAGAAGAAGCATTCACTGAGGAAACTCCGGCGACAGTCGGACAAGGATATGGTGATGGGGGTCCGCCTGTGCAGCCCGGTGGCTACAGGAAGAGGAGACAAAGCGAATATGGAGACGAGAACGTAACACCATCCACCCCCGTTACGCCTGGTGGAGAAGAATCATTCACTGAGGAAACTCCAGCAACTGTTGGTCAAGAGTATGGCGGCGATGGAGGACCACCAGTACAACCCGGTGGCTACAGGAAGAGGAGACAGAGCGAATATGGAGACGAGAACGTAACTCCGTCTACACCCGTTACGCCTGGTGGAGAAGAAGCATTCACTGAGGAAACTCCGGCGACAGTCGGACAAGGATATGGTGATGGGGGTCCGCCTGTGCAGCCCGGCGGCTACAGGAGAAAGAGACAGAATGAGTATGGAGATGAGAACGTTACCCCATCCACACCAGTAACGCCCAGTGAAGAGGAATCCTTTACTGAAGAGACTCCCGCAACTGTCGGGCAAGGATATGGATGTACTGGACGTCCTCCTGTGGAACCCGGTGGCTACAGGAGAAAGAGACAGAACGAATACGGAGATGAGAATGTAACCCCATCAACACCGGTAACGCCTGGTGGAGAGGAATCATTTACCGAAGAGACCCCCGCAACCGTTGGACAAGGATACGACTGCAATGAAGGATATCCACCTGTGGAACCCGGCGGCTACCGGAAGAAGAGACAGAGTGAATATGGAGACGAGAACGTAACACCATCCACCCCCGTTACGCCTGGTGGAGAAGAATCATTCACTGAGGAAACTCCAGCAACTGTTGGTCAAGAGTATGGCGGCGATGGAGGACCACCAGTACAACCGGGTGGCTACAGGAAGAGGAGACAAAGCGAATATGGAGACGAGAACGTAACTCCGTCTACACCCGTTACGCCTGGTGGAGAAGAAGCATTCACTGAGGAAACTCCAGCAACTGTTGGTCAAGAGTATGGCGGCGATGGAGGACCACCAGTACAACCGGGTGGCTACAGGAAGAGAAGACAAAGCGAATATGGAGACGAGAACGTAACACCATCCACCCCCGCTACGCCTGGTGGAGAAGAAGCATTCACTGAGGAAACTCCGGCGACAGTCGGACAAGGATATGGTGATGGGGGTCCGCCTGTGCAGCCCGGTGGCTACAGGAAGAGAAGACAGAGCGAGTATGGAGACGAGAACGTAACTCCATCTACTCCAGTAACGCCTGGTGGAGAAGAATCATTCACTGAGGAAACTCCAGCAACTGTTGGTCAAGAGTATGGCGGCGATGGAGGACCACCAGTACAACCGGGTGGCTACAGGAAGAGGAGACAAAGCGAATATGGAGACGAGAACGTAACACCATCCACCCCCGTTACGCCTGGTGGAGAAGAATCATTCACTGAGGAAACTCCAGCAACTGTTGGTCAAGAGTATGGCGGCGATGGAGGACCGCCAGTGCAACCCGGTGGCTACAGGAAGAGGAGACAGAGCGAATATGGAGACGAGAACGTAACTCCGTCTACACCCGTTACGCCTGGTGGAGAAGAAGCATTCACTGAGGAAACTCCAGCAACTGTTGGTCAAGAGTATGGCGGCGATGGAGGACCACCAGTACAACCGGGTGGCTACAGGAAGAGGAGACAAAGCGAATATGGAGACGAGAACGTAACACCATCCACCCCCGTTACGCCTGGTGGAGAAGAATCATTCACTGAGGAAACTCCAGCAACTGTTGGTCAAGAGTATGGCGGCGATGGAGGACCGCCAGTACAACCCGGTGGCTACAGGAAGAGGAGACAGAGCGAATATGGAGACGAGAACGTAACTCCGTCTACACCCGTTACGCCTGGTGGAGAAGAAGCATTCACTGAGGAAACTCCAGCAACTGTTGGTCAAGAGTATGGCGGCGATGGAGGACCGCCAGTACAACCCGGTGGCTACAGGAAGAGGAGACAGAGCGAATATGGAGACGAGAACGTAACTCCGTCTACACCCGTTACGCCCGGTGGAGAAGAAGCATACACTGAGGAAACTCCGGCGACAGTCGGACAAGGATATGGTGATGGGGGTCCGCCTGTGCAGCCCGGTGGCTACAGGAAGAGAAGACAGAGCGAATATGGAGACGAGAACGTAACACCATCCACCCCCGTTACACCTGGTGGAGAAGAATCATTCACTGAGGAGACTCCTGCGACAGTCGGACAAGAGTATGGCGGTGATGGAGGACCACCCGTACAGCCTGGAGGTTATAGAAAGAGGAGACAGAGCGAATATGGAGACGAGAACGTAACCCCATCCACACCCGTTACGCCTGGTGGAGAAGAATCATTCACTGAGGAAACTCCAGCAACAGTTGGTCAAGAGTATGGCGGTGATGGAGGACCACCAGTACAGCCTGGAGGTTATAGAAAGAGGAGACAGAGTGAGTATGGAGACGAAAATGTGACTCCAACAACAATTTCCAGTGGAGATGAATATGCTCCAGCAACAGAAGAAACTTCAGCTCCAATAGATCAGGGATATGCAGCTAGCGAAGCTCCCCCAGTGGGACCTGGTGGCTACAGGAAGAAGAGACAGAGCGAGTATGGAGACGAGAACGTAACACCATCTACACCAGTAACGCCAGGTGGAGAGGAATCGTTTACTGAGGAGACTCCTGCGACAGTCGGACAAGGATATGGTGATGGGGGTCCGCCTGTGCAGCCCGGCGGCTACAGGAGAAAGAGACAGAACGAGTATGGAGATGAGAACGTTACCCCATCCACACCAGTAACGCCCGGCGGAGAGGAATCGTTTACTGAAGAGACTCCCGCTACTGTCCGGCAAGGATATGGATGTACTGGACGTCCCCCTGTGGAACCCGGTGGCTACAGGAGAAAGAGACAGAATGAGTACGGAGATGAGAATGTAACTCCATCGACACCGGTAACGCCTGGTGGAGAGGAATCATTCACTGAAGAGACCCCCGCAACTGTTGGACAAGGATACGACTGCAATGAAGGAGGTCCACCTGTGGAACCCGGTGGCTACCGAAAGAAAAGATCCAATGAATAAGCGCCAACACATTTTCTCAAAATGTTGCACTAGAATTAGTAATTTATTCAAATGAAGTTGTTTTGAATTTGTACATCATGGTGCGCACTGTTGAAATAAGCACAAGTCTTTTCTTGCATTAAAAAGATTGTTTGAAAGGTCTTCGGCTTGGAAAGTAAAGACTTCAATACCTATTCTCATTTCATTTTTTTGCTGAGGCATATTTTGGCCAAAGGTATGCAGTTATCGCGCATCCTCCAGAGTTGTTCCCATAGGTACTTGAAGGTGGCTGCCTTTCGATCCTTTCGACATGTCGAGTTCGAATAAGCGCCTCAAATTTGCTGGCATTAACTCAAAACGATTGAAAGGCAGCCACTTTAATGGTACCTATGGGAACAATTTTGGGGAATGCACCATACATATACGAGATTTACGACACGCAAAGACTGGGCGCCGTTGCGTCCGGCCAGGATAGCTTGTGCATGAGAGACAGCACATGGTAAGAGAAACGAAAGAGCGCTCGATCAGAGAGACGCCAATACGTTTGAAGTCTTTGTGTGCTATGAATCGCCTATACATAAATTTGTAATGTGACAAACAGAACCTTCGTTCTTTAAGAGTCTTGACAAAAAAGCGTCTGAGAGCTATACAAGGCCATGGACATTGTTCGAGATAGAAACCAATGCGTACTTATGAACAATCGCCCCATACAGGGCCAGAGCAAGGTGGATACTAAATTTTCAAAGCGAACACTGTGTGCGAATTTACGATATACCGTTCTATTGGCAGAGCGCATAAGGGTACCTTCATACTACGCCGCAGGACACAGCAGCCTGCCGCAGCCTGCGGCGTACGCCGCTGCAGTCGCAGCGAAAATATGCAAAAACATGAAAGTGTAGCAACCTCATGGTAGTACTATTTGGCGCTATTCCAGTATCCGGGCCCCAAAATTTTTTGTCGTGAATTTCGCTAAAACTTCGCCCAGGGGGGTTATTCGGCCCGCTGATGCCGAATATCACATTGGTTTTGTACGGTAGCGTCATTTTCCGGGGTTACGGTGGGCATACGGTAAAGGGTCAAAATCACAGAATTCGCTGAAACTTGGCCTAGGGGGGTTATTCGGCCCGCTGATGCCAAACATCACATTGGTTTTGAACCGTAGCGTCATTTTCTCGGGTTACGGTAGCTACACGGTAACGGGTGTTATAGTGATAAAAGTAGAGATGGTTATACACAAAGTGTGTTACTTATAAACTAGAAACCATTTTATACGTAAATTTTGTATGTAAGTTTTAACTCCGTTTCGTTCCTGCCCTTAGACGGAGTACAGGAACTCCGGGCTCTCCCCGGAACTCCTCAGTAAGGAAGGAGAGCCCGTGAACCTGTTTTATTATATATCAAAATTTTTTGCTAAATGTTAAACTCAAATGATCAAATTTAACCCACATATT